CCCCCCGCAGCTGGAGCCCTACCTGCGGTGCCCGAGTAGTCGGCCACGGTGAGGGGGTACCCGTCCTCCTCGGGGTCCACGGAGAGCAGGCCCACCCCGAAGCTGCGGTAGTGGGCGTAGGCCGTGCCGTTGTCGAAGTCCTCCAGGTCCACGTGCAGCTCATAGGCCGCCTGGGCCGTCAGCGCATGGAGCCTCTTGAGCCCTGAGTGGGGGAGAGAATGCAGAGTGCGGGGGAGGGGGGCTTGGGAGGTGACCCGCAGAGAGAACCAGGGAGAAACAGCAGCTCAGCGCATGCGCTGGTGACAGAAAGGGACACCAGGGAGCTGGGGCTCGTACACAGTAGGCGCTCGATGAATGGAGAGGAAGAAGGGGTGTCTGTGTCTCCTGCCGCCTCCAGGCCTGGCTTTGTACCCCTCACACTCACACCACCTGGCCCAGCTCCTCCAGCCCTCTCTCTGTCCCCCCTTCACCCCGCCCCGAACTCTCCTGTGCCCACCCTGCGATCTCAGGCCGCCCGCCGCCCTCTCCCCTGCCACTCACACACTCAAGGTGCTCCCTGCCCGTCTGATTACCTCCCGATGAAAAGGCCGTTTAGCTAAACACCTTGCCAGTGACCAGCACCCATGATGGCTCATCCCTCCTGCCTGCCTTTCCTGGAGGCGGGTAGTGATGTGGCAGCAGCGTTTCCACCTGGCCATCCTCTCCCTGTACACACCCGCCTGGGGGGGGGGGGCAGGGGGAGGGTCTCCCCACCTAGAAGCTTCTCTCCCCAATCCCTATCCTGCCCCTGCTTTCATTCATTCAGTTCAGGGTACATTCAGACCTGGGGGGCTCCAGCACATGGATCCTGTGCAGGTCCCCAACCCGCCCCCCCCACACACACTTTGTGTCACTGAGCCTCAGTTTCCTCATCCGCTCCTAGGGGGGGTGAGGTGCCAGGCCGGGCACAGAGGGCGTGCGTCTGAGTGGGGACCGGCCGTGAAGTCCGCCCCGGGGGCCTGGCCTCCCCTGCGGGGTGCCTGTGTGCTGCCAGGGCACAGCAGGGGGCGGGGAGCGAGGTCGAAGGCAACAGACATGAAGCAAATGGCAGCTTAAATCACCACCCAGCACACGCAGGGGAGCGGGCACACACCTGGACCCCACCCACCAGGACCAAGCGATGGGTGCTCCCACCAGCCACCCCTCACACCTGCCGCACACCTTTGCTGCCACCTCCTCCCTCCTGCCCGGCCGCCCCAGCCTCGCTGGGGAGGTTCTCAGATGCCCGTACGGGAGGCGGAGCGAGGCAGGGGTGCTGTGGGGGCGAGAGGGAGGTCATGCCAAGGACGGACCGTGCCATTCCGATGCCGCGTGTACATGTTACTATGTGCCAGTACCCCTGGGGGTGACTGCTTGGGGGCCCCAGGGTCTGGCTGGAATTGGATGGTGGTGATGGCTCACAACCCTGTGAGTACATACAAGCTGCTGACCTGTGCACTTTGACCCCGTGAATTATATCTCAAAAAACACCCAAACCACCCTGCCAGGGGGGTCCTGCCCCAAAGGGTCGGGTTCGATTCCTGGTCAGGGCACAGGCCTGGTTTCGGGGCTGATCCCCAGGAGGGGCCCTGCAGGAGGCAGCCCATCCATGTTTCTCTCTCTCCCTCTCCCTTCCTCTCTCTCTAAAATCAATACAAACATGTAAGAATTTTTAAAAATCTCACCTGGAGCCACAACCGCCCCCAGATATATAGGGACTCAGTTCTGAGATTTAAATGGATGCTATTCTTTAGAATTCAAGTATGTTAGATATTCAAAATTTAAATGCTGAGTGAGTTTGAAGGTAGAGAGTAAGTAACAGTAGTAACAACGTGAACCTAAGCTTTGGGAGCAGCCGTGCGAGGCGGTGGCCATGGGGGGCCAGGCCTGGATCACCCACCCGCTGGCTGCTCTGGGGGTCAGAAGGGACCATACAGATAATCTGACTGTGAGACCTCAATTATCTTCCTTGTAACTTACTACTTTGGTCTTATTGATGAAAAAACATGAAAGCTTTCAGAAAAAAATTACTGCTTTCAAAAACTTGTAGTGTCTTCCACCTTATGATTTAATGTAAAAATTTATATCTTCTTTCCCTTATATTATTTTCCTTAAAAATCATCTTAATTCCACTAATTCAACTGAAAATTCCTAATGAATCAGAAA